TCTTTGGCATGGTGTTGGCAATCTCTTAAGGAGAAAGAAATAATTTTGTCTCCTGTCACATAGCAAAATAAAAGCTTTTGGCAAGCAGGAAGCCTGGGAGGCCTTTACTGCCACACGTATAACTAGAATTTTGGGCTAAACCCATCCCTGAGGAGGAAAACATTACATTTTAAGACATATGCTTTTTGATTTATTTATTAAAATTTTTTTTTCAAAAAAGCAGTTCCCTTCATTCCCTCTTATAAACATCACAGCTGAACACAGCATGCAGTTCTTAGCTACTTTAAATGGGGAACATTCTGCATGCTATATTTTACTTCAAACCCTTATGAACCATGACTAGAGTATTCCAGACCTGCACTCAGAGCCTGCAATGGGCATTTTTCTTTAGGTGCAAGGATCATTACAAGGAATGCATTCTTAAACCGGGCCTGCTCCTAGCACACCATTTCCACATATGGATATTAATTTATGTGATCACTTGAATACAAACGCTCAGCTGTCTCCATAAGTTATAGAAGCAATCATCCCAGGGAGCATCGGCGACACCGAGAGTCAATTCTTGTGTAATAATTTCATATTCAAGCCAGGGATGCCAAATCACCGCCCCTTTGGATAAAATGTGAGCCTGTAGAAACACTCCCCTCCCCCTTTTTATTATTGTGCATTTTATTTCTCCATAAAATACGTTTATGCCCTGGAAAAACAAACCAACCCAGGGGGCCAGGCTGATAGTGTGATGCAAGGGGTGCCTTCTCGGTGCTCCCCGAAGCTTCTGACTTAGCCACGAGAAGGCACCATGATGGGGGAGCATGTCTAGGGGCTGCTGAGAAAGCCCTCTAGGGCCAAACCTTGAGGAGGGAGGCGTTAGAAGGTCTCCAGGCCTTGGAATGGAAAGAGATAGTTTTGTGTGCCGCGATCTGGCTCCAGCTCCCACCTTAGTTGGAAGCCTCTATTCCTTTTTTAAAAAATATATAAACGGCTTTATTGAGATATAATTTACATACCATACAATTCAATGGTTTTTAGTATATTCAGAGAGAAATGCAACCATCACCACTTATATCATCTTCAAAAGAAACTCCATACCCATTAGCAGTTACTCCGTTTCCCTCCAACCACCCTCAACCACTAATCTACTTTCTGTTTCCATAGATTTGCCTATTGTGGATACTTCA